CATGATCAACTTTACGTGCTTCTGTGCTGATTGGCTCAGCGAGTGAGAACTTCTAGCTAGAAGAGTAATACAACTTTTTAGCTGCTTTCATTGGCAGATTATCTGGACCTGGATGACAATGGATTTTAAAATTGCAGTGCAAAATTACGCTGCAAATAAAGCCACCGTATAACCCAGTGTAGTGTGGTACAGTATATTATAGTATAACACGGTGCAGTAAAGTGCAGTATAATATAGTATAGTAGAGTAGAGTAGAGTATGATGTGACAGTATAGCGTAGAAAAGCAACTTATAGCATAGTACAGTCGTTAGCTGCTTGGCGGGACAGCGTGCTTTACCTAGAGAGTATCATGTGATGCCCCTTGATAATAGTTTCCATCTGGACGGAAACGGCCACCAGTAATCCTTTTGAAATTGCTGCGACTTTATAGCTTCTACCCTCGGTTTAGTTCTGGGTGTGCTGGGGCCTCAGAAAATGTCTCGGTGTCATACTTTACTTTAGTACCCTGTCTGCAGCTAAATGGGCTCCATTTGGTTGCGCAGGATATTTATGCGCTATGATCTAACGCACAACTGAAATTTTTAAAATGATTCCTTAAAAAAAGCCAGCATTTCGCAATGTGACTGGTTCAATCCGTACATAAAATTAAGGCAAAATAGCGCACCCAGAAATGGCCAGCCTAAAGTCTAATTTAGTGAGCTTGTATGTGTATTTTTTCGGAGAAATTCCTGAAAGAATAACTTAAAGGTGCTTGGGATGAGAAACCCTGCGCCATTGTGTTCCTAAAAAATAGGAAATTCAAAGTAAATTGCACTTATCATTTCCCCAAGATACGGCATGCATGCCTCATGTTGCAGCTTGTCTTTTCGGACCATTTATAAGTCCAGTAACACAGCTATATATCCACCCATCACTGGATTCTTAGCTTTAGAAGACATTTTAAGCCCCATAGCGTAAGAACACTGACCGGAAAGCGTAACAGGCAACGGTCTGATAAACGCGCGTTTTCAAAAGCATCTACCCCTGGAGGCTACTAAAAAGAGCATATTAGCACGCAATAATGGTTAGTTCCATTAAAGCTAGTTTCAGAAAAATCGTGGATTGTCGTTATGCCGTATGAGTAACTGCCTCCGTTTTTGGACCCGCTTCCATGCTTGTGTTACCTGTTACTTGTTTCCTTTAACAGCCATTGTTAACTGAATGCCTAGTCATCTTAATATTGTGAAAAAAGTCCACACTGCCCGAATCATTAAGTGTGATCCTACAAAAACATGAGCGGGTTGGTTTCCGGTAGTATTCAGTAATTATTGCAAATTCGTTCATCCATTCGTCCTTTGATTCATTTGATAATTTATGATTTTTTAACAAATAAAGTAGTTGTGTGTTGGTGTTTTCCCCCTAAAAGAATAAAATGCAACGGTGCGTTTAAATTCATTTGAAAAACGACCGACGTAGTAATTTACAGAATAGGTAATTCAGGTTGGTTGCTCAGGTGGACGTTTACGGCGCGACAAATTTCTAAAGTTATGGAACATGTTGTAGTCTTTGTTAGATGTGCGTGATACTACTCTGGATAACTGAATGTGTAAATTAACCACTCGATATTAGCGAATATACACTCATTTGCAAACTGATTTGTTTTTTTCGAGAGACTCACCTGGAACCCAGCTGAATCTCTCGTTTATGATGTTCTCAGGCAACTGAACATGCTGCACTAGGCGCCTCATGTTTCAGTCGCTACGATATTTGAAATATCGCTATATATGTATATCTTTGTAATGTACTACTCATAAGGTTGCTGAAAATCCACCGACAGCTCACGACCGGTTTCGCCCTTTTTGGGGCTCATCAGGTGGACGCAGTCCCCGGATTTCCGTCAACCTTATGTTCTACTTGAAACCAAGTTGCACGAAATTCGCGAATATACACCAAGTTGCAAACTAATTCGTTTTTTTCGAGAGACTCATCTGGAACCCAGCTGAATCTCTCTTTATGATGCTCGCTAATTTCTTGCAATTTGGTTTCAAGTAGAATATAAGGTTGACGGAAACCCGGGGATTGCGCCTACCTGATGAGCCCCAAAAAGGGTGAAACCGATCGTGGTCTGTCGACGGATTTTTAGCAACCTTATGAGTAGTACATTACAAAGATGAGCCACTCGGTAGTTTTTTATCACACCTCTACTGAATCAGAACTTAATCGACAACGAAACTACCTCACGCCGCAATAATTTGAAAATTGCACTACGTTTTTTACCTTACGTTTTCCTCTTAACCAAATGTGGATTTAAGAACAAGTGTTTTCGTTATCTCCGTCAAACAGGCCGTATGTGTCCGAATCAATACTGTGTCCAGAATCAGCGTGGAAGTTGGACACTCTTGGCGCCAGTAAACCCATCTATGTTTTCGTCTTTGAATTTCTTTTACGTGGTCTGCAGCGGCTGTTGTTAGTTTTGACTGTCAAACATTGATGAGATTGCAGGGCGCCCGCACGTTCACGTGAGTGCTTAGGATACCAAATGGCGCAGGAAATACTGACGAGGCGGAATATTTTAAATTTACTGCACTATTTTATTCCATTTGGTATGACCGTGGCGGTAAAAGCCTCCAAAAGCGATTGCTCTGAGGATTTACGTTATCGTTTTAAACGCAAGTGACTATATATTTCTACAAATAACTTACAATATGGTCTCTAGTGATGAAATTAGCCGCATATTAGTGGTAATGTGTTGGCTACTGGAATGTTTTTGGCGGTAAATTGAGGATGGCGCATCACTGGGAATGGAGGGCCGTGGTCACTGTATATTACTGACGTACCTAACGCTAAATTAACTAATAAATGAACCTACTTTTGCCCAGAATTTGATGTGTTACTCTAGGCATGTCAAGGATATTCCACCCAACGGACAGTCTTTGTTAGGAAACCTGCCCCGACTACTGAGTGGAAAAATTCACACATAACAGTCGTTGATAGCCTGTGTAGTTCACTTACATTTACTCGCAGAATTTCATGAGCGTATTCGTCACTCAGCATGAAATCTGTTTTAACTTGGACATTTAGTAGAGTTAGTTCATTTAAGCCTTTGTGCTTCTCATGAACGACTAACTGTTGTTGTTGTTGTTGTTTGGAAATTGCTATCCTCTCCTAACTCGGCGTCACCATCAACGGTAAGTTTCATATTAGGTAGCATCACTTTGCTTTGAGTGCCAAAATGTTATGTTCTTGGCAAGAAGGACTGCGCAGAACTGGATAACAACAGCAACCCTATAGGTGAGCTGTTTACTCACCAATGCAATGGCAAATTACCATTTCTCACACTAAATGGGAATCGCGTGGGCATTAAGCTTAAAAACTACTGTTGTTGTGTTGTTGTTTGGAAATTGCTATCCTCTCCTAACTCGGCGTCACCATCAACGGTAAGTTTCATATTAGGTAGCATCACTTTGCTTTGAGTGCCAAAATGTTATGTTCTTGGCAAGAAGGACTGCGCAGAACTGGATAACAACAGCAACCCTATAGGTGAGCTGTTTACTCACCAATGCAATGGCAAATTACCATTTCTCACACTAAATGGGAATCGCGTGGGCATTAAGCTTAAAAACTATGTACTGATCAACAATGAATAATGGGAATAAGTAAGCATTCTTACAGGCCAGGGTAGCGGCATATCAATATATGATTTTGGGACGTATCACCGTTATTATTTTCTCCTTGCCTTTGTACACAACAACCCAACGAACATCCATCTTTTATGAGCGGCGTCTGAACTCTTATAATGAACTGAAATGATTTTTGCTGTGACGCGAATGTTGGTCAGCAGAGGTAGTGTGCATTCCATATGTCCTATTTGGGATTCCAAGCGGCAGTAGAGTACTTGAGTACCAGCCTGGAGCGGAAAATATACATACTTCCTTTTATAAATGCTGACGTCACGTGACTAAAGTTTCGGATGGTCACTCCTAAGTTTGCCTAATGTTTTATGCGACGTAGGGATGACTTCCTATTAATTGCACTCAGAATGCACGATTCCTTCAAGACTTCAGTTGCTGTTTTGTTATTTACGTTTGTAAGAGCTAACACGAAACGTTATTTTTTTTACTATTTTCCTGTGCTAAATTCCTCTCAAAGAATAGTCGTTTTTTATTCCCCTGTGTGGCAGCAAGTCCTCATTTTCAGTGGCACTCTTTTTGCCATTGCTGTCCAATATGTTTGGCTGAATTGTTGATGTGAGAAGTTTGAATTATATTATATGTCTCCCTGTGTTCTTCAGCTTTTCACTACAAAATTTTGCTCAGTTAATTACTGTAGATGTTGGTGTACTGAGCTCTTGTTTCTTCACATGGTGCCGGAAAATTTGTTTGCAAGCAAAATGATGTCCAGTACACATGTCCGTCGATCTGCTTCAACTACGCCTTCGAAGACCAGAGTGAAGACACTTTTTTTAAGTGTGCAGATAGCTTAGATGGAATAAAATTCATAGTGGCGGAGCAAAAAGTACGAACCGTTACCTCCTGTAAGGGGTGCAATCTGTGTGGAGGGATGTGAATGCCATCATTATTAAAACACTTTTTGTTTGGACAGTTTCATCTTTAATTTTCTGGCAGTTTCCTCTTATTTTGATCTCTCACCCTGATGACCAAGTTTGTGCATCGAGTATCCACTCGGAGAAAACTATTTCGCTAAGATCATTATTTCAGAAGGTCCCGATACGACACTTTGAATTATAGTGATTCATAGCTCCCTTAAGAAGCCCCATGGAGCAAGTACCTTGACCATCATTCAAACATGGTTGAGATTCAAGAATGTCTGCAACGAGAAAGGCCAAACCAGCAGGTGCGATGAAACTAGACCTTGTCCGTCTTTTTCAAGTTTCTACCAAAGTCTAGCTTACCTTTTTTTATTCAGGATTCGGTCTCTCCACCGGGATTCTGATTAGGATTATGCCTTACTGAGGATTCGTTTTTTTTTAATAACCGACCGTTTTTATTATCCTTTCAAGGCGGAACATACAGCACTGGGTATCCAAACGGTTTCTGCGTACTTGCCACTATGATAAGGATCATCCAGAGTATAAATACTGCCCGATATTCAAGTTCTCAACGATGTTCAAAGAGGCAAATATTGACCATTCTGCACTAATTCACGTAAGTCCAGTCTTTACTCTGATCACCACTTGATTTTGATATGATTTCAGTGACCGATTACAAGTTTTCACTTACCGGTCCATAAACTTTATTGAGTGTGTAGTTAGATAAGATCGGCCAGCATGTGTATCAAAGTTTGATGTCGCACCGCATTCAGGTAGCTGTCGTAACTCTGGATGGACGTTGTACCAGTGACCTTGAACCCGTCGTAGTTAACGTCATTTGTTGGGGAATTCATCTGAATTTATGGCGTATCCATTATTCTGCTGACAACGTGGAAGACCCTCCATAGAGCGCGGTATAGTATTAGCGATTGGATCCCATTCGAAAAATGGACTGTGGTCAAGGGCCCCCATTTGAAATTCCCGTCTCTAGTTAGGCGAAATCCAGTTGTCACTTTAAATGAGGCTTGGTTGATTCTTGCAACACCATTTTTGTATCTTTATCGGTGTTTTCATTTTATGGTTCATGGTCAAGTCAGTGTTTGCGTGCATTGTAGTTTGAAATTGCAGTAGGTCCAGAGAGCAAACCTGTGGTCGGGATGCCAGCACCGTGAAAGCACTTTGGAGATCGGAAGCGAATAAATTAGATATTGGCTGTTCTCAAAGCAAAAAATACCCCGTTTCCAATGCGGATCGTCTGAACATGAATCCCTCGGTTTGGGCCTTTTTTCAGACCCGATTAACAGTGCGTCCCTCAGAGGCGTTGAATTAGAGAAATTGATGATAAACTCATGCCACAATTGTAGTACTGCCTATTTCTTAATAGCTTCTTGAGAATGTTAACATCTCGAACACAAAACTCCTTGTTAACAGCTTTTGAGCGCATCATTCATTCGCTCGACAAAACGGCTATCAATCGAGTGACGACGGAAGTTAAAACCTTGGGTAATATCGACCTGTTGTCAATAAAAAGTGGTGAGTGATCGAAATTAGTGTCAGTCATGGAAAAGACAGCCGTCAGTTCTCACAACCGTGAGTAAACCCACGTCCCTGATTCCAGTGGATCGAAAAGGATGATTTTTGGCCAGCAAGCAACCGGTACCATTGGGCCCTAAATCTAAGTTTTAAAGGTAAATGTGTTGAATAAACTAGCGTGAAAACACTGCACGTAAAACCGTCACGTTAAATTTGAAGGAGACATCCGGGATATCGTTTCTTCTGACGATGTCTTGCGGCTATTCTGTCTTGAAATCTGTATGAAGCACCTTGTTTCCTATCTATCATCCATAAAAATTTTTAGCTTGTTTACTCCTTGTCAGTACTAGAGCAATTAGCAACTTTTCTAGTGTGTTCTACTTATTTTCCCTTGGATTGCAAGTTGACAGGCCAACTGCCTTCGAACGATTGAACCAAAGCACGCTTTCGTTCGAATAATTTGCATGTAACGGTTCAATGCCCGATTGAATCATCCACCTTTTAATCACTGATTGTTTGTCGAATATGAAGCCGCTGTACACAAGTGCTATATAACCAATATTGTGGTCGAATTTGATGCACACGGTTCAGTAATATTTTCCATCAACGGCTTCCTATCAAATACACTGCCGTTCCACCCAGTAACGACCTGTTTTTGCCTAGACTAAATGTCAAATGTTCTGTGAGTCACAACCTTTTTTGTACATCTTTTCAGCCTTTTACGGACAATAGTTGGGGGCAAATGTGTTGAAAAGCATAAGCACGCGTGTAAAAAACATGTTTTGAAAGACTGGCGTAATCTTCACTGAGTCAATATGAGCTTAGAACTACCTGTTACATTAACTAATACCCTTACACATATATACCCCCTAAGAAAGAACATTTCTCGAACAAAACAAAGTGTTGATTTCTTTCAGGGTATTCATTTTAATTTAAAATGGGTCTTCTTGGTTATGAAGGGATCCAGAACATTGATTAGTCAAGAGTCGTTGGCTTCATTGTTTTTCTGTTTTGAACCATATCACCTGTCTTCAGCTGCTTCCATTGGGCCTAATTCACCAATACGATTTGGATGTCAGCATTCACGCATTGTGCGCGATACCAAATGCTGCTTCAGTGATAAACTTCCGGTTGATTCAGTTTACTTCATCCTTACTATAGATTTTCCGCGCCGATCACCATTACCCAGAAGTTGAACCGATGGATTAGTGCAAACGCACATTGTGCGGAACCTAGGAGTTCATGCTCGATTGATATTGTCTTGTGGTGCACACTGTGCTTGGATGCAGTCACTTGATAGCAGCAGCTTGTCTGAAGGACAGTGTATAATGTCGGTGACGACGTCAACACGGCTTTAATTCTTAAGCATTCTAATGGCATGAATTTGAAGTTTGCCGTTATCTCGGTGGGTCGTTTTTAAGAACAGGCGTTTTATCAGAAGCCAATCACATTCATTTCCGTCGGACCCTAATAGCTAAGCGAAGATAAACTGCAGACATCTTGGTTTTCCGAGTGGAGTGGAGTTGGTACTATGACTATCCAATTGTTTGGGTTACAAGATTTTATAAGTGTGCCAGAAATGGTCAATAACAACCAGAAAATTCGCCGCGGTAAACAAGCTTTGGTCTCGATAAATGATTTTCGGCTAAGCAATAGTTCTCCGAAGGGGGCTTGAGCAGTGGACCGAATTAGGATGAACGGAAATCGCTGTCTCCCAGGAACCATTTCATTTAGAGTACCAGCTCCGAACCTAACTGGACTACACAAGTTTCAAAGTAGTAACCTTGTCTGTTGAGACAGATTTAATTGGTTGTTCTTCACTTGACTTTGACAGTTGAGTTTTATTAGTATCACATTTTGGCCCTCCTGGAACTTTCCACGTAAGCTTTATAGACAGTCCGTTTCCGGCTGCACATGACACGCCTGTACACATCAATTTTTGGTAGATCAGTTGATTCACACTCTCATTAGCTTTCCGGTTTGGCTAAGTGCATCAAGCTACCTAGCGGCTATCCAGACTCGGGCTCAGGGTATTAGGAAGGCATTAAGAAAACTGTGGTCCACAACTATTTACTTTGGCCGAGTACCTTCGTGCGTACATGTAATCCTAAAGGGAAACCCCACAACTAGTCTTGTTTTGTTGTATAGATACATACATCAATTGAAAGGTTCTATGATTACGTTAGTGAATGACACCATTCTAGTGATAAACACCCATTCTAAGTTTGGTTCAAGATGATGACTGGTTTGTCATTAGGTAATTCATCAGTGGATCAGAGCAACGTCACTTTTGACTTTATGTCGTACTTTTGAAGTATCATGAAGCTGGGAACAACATAGACTCTACCGTATGCTTGGGCCCACCCTCCGGTTGTTGGATTACAACATCTAGTCTGCTTAGCTCTGGTCACAGGTATTTTACTTCTATCCAGGAAGTTTAGTTATCTGGTTAATTTAAATGCCGAAGTGGATATGGCGCAAAATAACGCTTGGTAGCGATAGTATAATTTCATGGCCTAATTAGGTTCAATATGTGCACCTCTAGTTCCTCACTATTAGGTTCCTACGAAACTCTACATTATTGGAAATACCATTGGGCGTCTTCCATGAGCCTACGCGCACAAACTGTTCGACATACACGACTGAGAGCGTCAGCACATGTTCGAATTTACCGATGTTTGTGTTTGCGACTACCGCAACCAGATATGTCGGTTACGGAACCAGACTGTGCCTTGGGGTCAAGGCAACTTCAAGAAAGTGATGGAACCGTGTGAACCCCAGCACTCAGAGCCAACTGAACATTCCTCCAGGCAAACAAAAAAGATGAGTAGGACAATGTCCAGTGAAAGTTTGTGTAAATCGGTGTTATTCTGATAAGGCAGGAACTCGTCGCCCAGCTAACAGTGAAGATGCCTGCCAACTGCGTGTGTTCCGACTGAATCTCAAAACTCTGTTCCCTATTAAAGTGAATACAGATACAACAGAAAGAAGAATGCGCTGAGTTCAAAAACACAAGCCTTGACTTTTAGTCAGGGTATACAGATAGTTTCGAAGACTGATCGATAAGTTTCGTAATTCCTTTCAAGAACATGCATCCCAGTCCCATAATTATGGTTACGTAATCTGCTGGTTTTTACCTCATGCATTCTAGGGGTGGAATTTCCAGTCACGGTATGAGGTCCTTTTAAGCTTTGTTTGTGCTGATTCTCAGCAAGGTGTCATGGTGTCACGGCAGTGAAGCACCGGTGTTGAACACTGATGTCATGCTGTCGATGATGATGATGTGTCATTGATGCGAACACCATTGATAATTTTGGTACCAGTTTGCGGGTGAAATTTCTCCGCTCCGAGCACAAGTATAAGACGTCATTCAAAACAGCAGTCCGCTTACAAGTTCAACAAAATAGTTTAAAAGCTAACCATAACACTGTTCCTTCCTAGCACCTTGCAAATTTCATTTGTCTCCATTTTACATTGTGGAACCAAATGTAGCCCAGTATATCCAGCTCGGTGGTTGACCACATCCTGTTTACTATTTTAAACGAATTTGATATTCACCACCCGTGTAATCTGTGCGCCTGATGAAGACTGCGACTTTAGACTTAGGTCAGCCAATAACCTGCTAATAACCAATACTCAAGATGGAGGAAATGGTTTATCTGCGACTGTTCACATAAACGACCGCAATTTTTAAATCAAAGCCGTCGTAATTTGTCATAAACTCCACCGATCCCTATTCGATCCATCGCTGTAAACTTTTGATTAATCTGCCCGACCAGCTCTGTATAAATTAAACTTTTACAATAAACGGACACATCAGTTTAACTTGCAGTACTCTGTATACGTTAACCATCTAACCTGACCGCTACCTTCTGACGAAATAGCTTTTTTGCAAGCATGTTCGTACAGGTATGGTCACACATAGCTCAGGTAGGTCGAGCAAACTTTATGAGCACGAAGTGAAATTTTCAGGATGCGAATTAACAACCATATCGCACGTACATTTTGACGTTAGCTTCTGAAACTCGTCACTCGACAGTCCACTGACAGTGCTTGATTTATGCACCAATTTATGAACTCCCG